GGGGGGGGGGGCGGGGGGGGGGCGCGCCGGGGGGGCGGCCCCGCCTCGCGTGGGGAGGCTTTCCGCGAAGACGTCGTCTCTGCGCTTTGATACCTGCCCTTTCGGAGGCTCTCCCTGCGCTCCTGTGGCGCCCTGAGGTTGCGCTGGCATCTTTACGGGATTCCGTGGAGCGACTTGGTTTTCCACAGCGACTGCTCTTTCTTTTGCTTTAAAGGAATTCACCGCTTTTTAATATAAACTTTTTCTTTTTTTTCATATAAAAAGAGCCTGTTTCAGCCTAAAAGGTTTTAAAGGAAGTGCCCAGCGGCGGTGAGACCGGTGCCCTCACCATGTGGACTTTCCTGGGCATCGCCTCCTTCGTCTACGTGTACAAGAAGTGCGGGGACCTGATGACTTACGCCAACAAGGAGGTGCTGCTCTCCGTGCTCGTCTTCTTCTCCCTCGGCCTGCTGCTCTCGCACCGGTACCGCTTCCGAGGGCCCAAGCAGCAGCAGCAGCGGCAGAGGTCCCACCTGGGGGTCCTTTCCAACGGGCTCGCTGCCCTGCCGCTCGTTGGCTTCTTCTGGGCCAAACCCTCCCCAGGGGCTCAGCGGCTCCAACAGCCCAAATCCCCAAAGGTAGGTTCAGGTCGGACGTGGCCCGTGGGGTGAAATGTCCTCCTGGTGTCATCTCTGAGTGTTGGGAAGAGTTTTTCTTTTGGTTTTGGACTGCTGATTTGCCAGGTTTTGCACTAGCTGTGAATAAAAAAGACTAGCTATTTAGAGCTTGTAGAGATCATCTTCCCAACATTTCCCAATTAAATATATGTATCTAGAGAAAGCTGCAAATGCAGCTAACTGGGAATTCTTCCTGGTATCACAGGAACGAGAGTTCAGGTGGTCGGTCTGTTCCGCTGAGATCGAGGGTGCTGAAGAAGTGAGAACTGTGGTCTGGAGCTGGAGCTGGGCTGGCTCATGGCAGCTAGGACTGCTGAGCTGGGTGAGATGATCTTGAAGGTGTTTTCCAGCCCTACTGCCGTGGTGCCACTAGAAATGCTGGGATGGGCGATGTGCTGGCCTTCCGTTTCACCAATGCCGTTTCGCATTTTCGCTGCTGTCAACTCCCGGTGCTGATGCATCCGTGGGAGAGCAAGCTGGGCTCCCTTCTCCCTTCTGGGATTTGCAGTCATGACTTGCAGACTCACACTGCAATTTTCCTTGTAACTTAGTTTGCACATTGAAGTATATGCCATTAGTAACTATTGGGAAGATACTGTAACCATAGCTAGGCTTCTAAAATATCAAATATACTCATAATAATCTGGTGTATATAATATAATCTGGTGTATGTCAGTTCTCAACATCTTTAGTTGTAAGCATATGGTACTCTTGCCCATAGTTTAGATTGTTTAACAAGTTTTCATTTTAGGACCGGTTCTTTATTACATTTACTCATTAGCTGGTTCTGCTGATGCTTTTCCATGTTGAGTGTTTACCATAAACTCTTCTTTTTTGTTTGTGCGTTTGTAGGGACTTTCAGTTAGAAAGATGGGAATATTCTCTTACAGTGAAATTAGAGAAGTACATTTTTCAGTGAATATAAAAGGATTTTACAGTGGGAAGAGTTAAGGGCCCCATTTAGCAGGCACTGTCTGGCATAAAGGCTTTGCTGTTTTTCTTTGTAGATCAAGAAGATAGGCTACAGCCTTGGTTCATTGCCTTTATAGGGACTTAACTTCCAGTATATCCGAGACTGAAATCACTTTATTGGTTTGGTTTTGATTGGGAGTGCAGCTTCAACTGGTTTGTTTGTTTGTTTCTCTGCTTGTTGTGTTTTGATCACATTGTAGAGGAGGCACTTGATTTAATTCTGGACAACACTAACTGGAAGATGCTCCCCAACCAACAGATGGGCATTCAGTCTGTCAGATCAAGTAGACCTACTCCAAAGTTAGCCTCCCTGAAGAAGTTATAATTAATTAATTGTAATGTTTATTTAAAAGAAAAAACATTTTTCAGAAATTCTATATGTGCATTTTATGTATTTGTTTTGACTTTCCTTTCTAAAGGGCAGAAGAGAAGTAAACTTCATAGACTTACATATGACAGAGACTGCTACAAATACAACATTATCACCTCAATATGATCCAGAAATTATCATTGTGGGTTCAGGTGTTCTTGGTTCTTCTTTGGCCACGGTGCTCTCGAGGGATGGAAGAAAGGTGACTGTCATAGAGAGGGATCTGAAAGAACCTGACAGGATAGTTGGAGAACTGTTACAACCTGGAGGTTTTAATGCCCTTAAAGACTTGGGTCTTGAAGGTAAGTGCATTTCAAGTGCAGATACATCTGTAACACAGATGTTAGGACACTCCATTTCTTATTTACAAAAAACATGCTGACAGAGAAAATCAAAAAATACAGTATCTACTGTATTTGAATTTAAATTGTCTGTTTTTAGTCCACGATTTTGAAGATATTCTCCTCCCAGCCTACCTCTTTTGATTAAGAGAATTTAACTCTACGTAAAGAAATAATTTTAATAGACAGTTAAACTTTTTGAAACACGTTTTTCTTACCTGTATATTGGCACATATTTTGCAGATGCAGTGGAAGGTATCGATGCACGAGTAGTAAATGGCTACATAATTCATGACATAGAGAGCCAGTCGGAGGTTGAAATTCCTTATCCAACATCTGAAGATGGCCACGTGGTTAGTGGGAGGTCATTTCATCATGGCCACTTCATCATGGGGCTCCGAAGGGCAGCTATGGCAGAACCAAAGTAAGTCAACTTGTAATAGCGACCATCACATTTTTCATTCCTGAGATTTAGCAGCATTTTTCCCAACATCATGAAGATTCTCAATCCATTTCATTTTGTCTGAACACAGAAGCCTCCAATTCACCAGATTGATCCAAAAGGACCTGTACTTAGTTTTTCTGTTTTCTATATATGTCATGTACGTGAACTGACTGCATTGTACATTATTCTCTGGGACACGTTACTCTTTAAATTCATGAGACTATAGGCTTCAAACATTTTGCAAAGTTCTGCCCAATGTAAAGGAACAGTTTGAGTGTAAAGGGTGGAGATTCTCCTGTGCTGGTGGTTGGTTGGTTGTTTTTAACAAAGGAAGCCACCTCCTCTTGGTAAAGCGAATGCATAGAACTTCTTAGACTGTTTGTACATTTTGTAATAACAACAAAGTAGAGAAAACAGGGAGAATGGAAAAAACAAGTAGCTGGAAATAGCAACTTCCAGTAGCTTATGTGTTTTAGAATGCTGTAGACCCTTTCTCTTACTAAAAAAACAGAAATCATAGTGTTTGGTTTCTATATATACTGTTTTCTGTGGGGATTTATTTATTTATTTATTTGCTATAAATTATGCCTACAAGGGAAACAAAGCCATTCACATTTTCTTTATGCATCTGTATTCTCAACTGGAAAATTGTCTGCTCCCATCATTTATGTTACATATTATGAACTATTAAAGTCAGAACTAAAAGACAGGAAGTCTGCAGTTCAGTTAAGATTAACAACTGCATTTGTTATCCATAAAAGCTTTCTTATTAGGACTTCAAACTTAGTGAAATTTGGGCATGTGTTCATTCAATTTTTGGAAGGTTCCAGTAGGCTTACAAAAATTTTGAAGCAAAATTTACAACAGCTAATGTTTGACTTGAATTCTGTTCTTGTGAGGTTTGGCTTGTGAGGTTTGATGTGGTAAGTATGCTTTCTTGTGCCTAGGAGCTCAGGTCTCCTGGAGTTTAGGTGTGGCAATGAAATTTTGGGGCAGGTATTAGTTATGAATATGTCTGTTCCTGTTGCTCACTGGCATGTGAGTTAGGGCACCTGCCTTGGATGTGGGAGATTTGCTTTGAAATTTCTGTGCTGGCTGACATGGAGCAAAGATAGGAATCCAGCTGCCTACATTCCTGTGAGAGCAGAAATGTTATTCCCACATGGATCTTTATCTTGCCTTTCTAAGTTGTTGAACTCCAAATGGATATAAAAATATTCACGACCTAGAGAAAGAAGAGTGTTAGTTTTGAGCTGCTGAGAGTGTGCCTGAACTGCTAGGATCAGGTCTAAAAGCTCAGACCCAGAAACAAATTTAGGTGGACAAGTTACTTGATTTTTGAAACTGGAATAGTCCATGTTGTGGGAAATGAAGGCAAGGGGTGCTCAGTTCAAGCTCTGATTCATAAGCAATAGGAGAATGGTAAATGCACAAACAACAAACTGAATGCGTATCCTGAAATTTGAGGTGAAAAGCCAAGTGTCTCTGTCTTATGCAGATGACAGAGGTTATTTTGAGGCTGAAGGATCTTGGTTCTACCTGGTTTACACATTATTGTTGAAGTGCTACTTCGGATCTTGCTCCTCAGTTCTGTGTAGGTTTAGTTCTTGCCCAAACTCTCAGCATTTCCCCCTTGCTGTTCAGTATAGATGACTCCTGTGCTAGTGGCCGGTTTCTGACAGTTACCAGGTATCAAGGTCCTTTTTACTTCTCACGTATGGCCAGCAAAACAGGATTCTGCTGAGTGGCAGCTTGTTTGTGGTAGGCATTATAGTTTTAGAACATTCTCAGATATCAACTATAATGGTACTGTTGAACTGAAATTAATGACAGGCCCTTTTTGCCATTTAACATGTCTTCTCCTTATGTGAATTTTTTTATTAATGCAAAAACAGGCTAAATGAACTGGTTTTACTTTGCACGGCACCTTGAAATTTTTGCCTCATTGGTCATCTTAATCTTACTTCCTTTAATTTCAGTGCAAAATTCATTGAAGGCACCGTGTTACAGTTGCTTGAGGAAGAGGACTGTGTAGTGGGTGTGCAGTACAAGGACAAAGAAACTGGAGACATTAAGGTGAGACAGTTTTGTGTTTTGATCTTTGTTTAACCACTGTCCGAATCCAGACATGTACATAGCATTTTTTAAAAGTTTGTTATTTCAAAGCACTGATGCAGACATACTTAATTGTCAGGAAAGCAAAACCTGAAAATGGAGATAGCTTTCTAGTGAGTACAACCCTGGCATATGGGAATTCCTGTTACAACTTCTTGTGCAGTTGCTGATGGCAGTCTTTCTGGAGAATTCACTTAATTTATTTCAGTATTCATGTGTCTGGAGTTTAAAATCTTTTGAAAGTTACTGATGGAAAAAAATATATATGTTAAGACTTGTGCTTTGTGTGTGTAATGGTTTGCATTTCTGTGTGTACTTCCATATTAACTAACTAAGGTATCTGAAAGTAAGAGAGTAGGCGCCCGTTCGCAGAGACTCTTCTCTGTCTAGTCATTTCGTGGAACACAAAGAATGAGGGAGTTTGGGATAATATTAATTTTATCACTGTTCGGATTTGTGCTCCACACCTCAATGAATGCTGAGGTGCTGGCTAAATGCTATTAAACTGAGTGAATTTATTATAAAATGTTTAGGACAGACCAGCTTTGCTAGACTTCATGTCCTGAATTGATGGGTATACTACTTGTTCTCTGGAAAATTGAAAACTTGATATATCCTTTCCCGATTTTAAAGTTTTTTTGCTGTCTGAAGTTATGTAGCAAGCAAGTGCAGCTGTGCTCTGATGGGGAAGACGGGCATCTTCATCTTGTCTAAGCTCTCCTACTCTCCATACCAGATTCCCAAAACTCCTTAGTAGTTGGAAAATCCTGTCTGAGCTCTATAAAACGAAATCTCACAGCTTTAGGTCATTTAGAGATTAAACAAAGACAAAACCATATGCAAAAGAGCCATTTGAAGTTCTTGCAGGAGAACTGGTTTTAGTTGTTTGCTCGCAGAGTGCTGTCCCTAGAAAGCTGTAAGACTGAAACACCATCCTTGGCTGCCCTTGAGCTGGCCTGTCGGGGCATGTCCCGAGTGCTGCTCCCTTGTCTGTCTGCTTTTAATCTGCTTTTTGGTATTGCATGTCTCCTATCTGTATTATGGGTGTAACAAACTCACGCTTTTCTTTGAATGCTCTAGGTGCTGTTTCTGGAAAGAGCTATGTTTGCTGGTTTAGATCTGCTCCAGTTGTAGGAACCCAGTGGAAAAAAATATTTCTGCTTTCTTGTAGAAGACCTGTTTTCTAGCTGTATTTCACTTCTGTGGCTTTATACAACCAGAGAACTACTAGAAAAAGTTGAATTTTAAGCAGGCAACTGAATAGCAGACTAGAAAAAAAAACATAGCAGGGAGGGTTCAGATGATTAGACATGAGGGCATCGTGCAGCCAGGCAACCTGTACCAGCGCTAATGGCAGGAACGCTGAGAGCTTGCGGTCTTTGGGAGCAGGAATCCATAGCCAGAAGATTTTCTTAGTTCTGCTGTATTTTCAGAAACTTTTCAGAGTCCCTTTCTTGTGCTCAAAGATGCAGTGCATTGCAGGCACAGATGTACAGTTGATGCCAGCTCACCAGATGTTCTATCTAGTACAAAAATGAGTACTAATGAAGCATGGTGTGGCTTTCTGCCCTATTATTTACAGCCTCAAATCTTAAAAGGAAAATTATTTTTCTGTTTAAGTCTACTATATGAAAAGATTAAAGGGCAAGGACAAATACTCATTTAAAATCTATAGTCATATGCAGTTAAATAACTGTATAGACTGACTGACTGAACGAAGAAGTTATACTTGTGTTCTTAAAAAGAAAATGTCAACCTCTAAACAATTTCTGTTATAATGATTTTTCTTGTCTTACCATAACAATAAAATGTTTAAAAATACACTTAAAATGTTAATTGCAATCATTTGCTCATGTTGGAGAATAATGAAAGTATTAAACATTTAGAATTGTACATCCATTCCAGTTGAACCTAATCTTTTCAGTAAGATTTTACTTTATATTTTTTTACATGCACAATTTCTGCTCCTAGTTCCTAAATACACTAGGAACCTCTCAGAATTGCCTGTGTACTCTTAATATCCTACTAGTGTGCTGACTGCCTTCCAGTTTGTTGCATTACTTTGGTTTGTTTGTGCTTCATTGCTTGTGTGCAATTCTTTTGTTTTAAATTTCTTTGTTTATTTATTTATTTTCTTGATGTCTTTCTAAAGAATAGCATTATAGGGTCTAGGAACAATTTTACTTTCTTGTCTTTGTTTTTGTCATAGTTGCTACACAATGCCCATAACTACATTATTTGATTGCATGTCTGTGAAAGCTGGAGCAAGTCACTAGGCTAAATTTTAGAAGAACTAGAGTTAAATATCAAAATGAAGAAAGCAAAAATATTAACTTTCTTAATATATCTTTTATAAATCTGGTTTGTGATCATCTTATATGCTTGTTGTTTTGAAGAACATCTAATATGTGGTTAAAAACAAGAGGGTTTGGGAAATATTCTGTTGTTCTGAACCAAAATAGAAAGTGTTATGTATGTATGTATGTGTATATATACACATGTGTGTATACACACGTATATATAAATAACATTTTCTTTCTATGTATATTTTTATGTTGCAGGAGCTCCATGCACCACTTACTGTTGTTGCTGATGGACTTTTCTCCAAGTTTAGGAAAAATTTGATCTCCAACAAAGTTACTGTTTCATCCCATTTTGTTGGCTGCATATTGAAGGTAGGTTTTGCACAGAATGCCATATAAGCTGCTATGTCGCTGTTTCTTAATGTTGGTTTGAATCAAACTGAGTGTCCTCTGGGTCATTAACATTGTGGCTTTGGCATATTTCCTATTTTTGATCTCTGAGAAATGAGAAGAAACTCACCAGTCTTTTGCCTTAGCAGCATCTAAATGTTATGGAAAAATGACTTCACAGTGCAAATAAGACTCAATAAAGGGTTTTTAACCTGCTTTTTCCCTAAAGGGAGGTTGCGTGTGTGTGTAGGAGGGAAACTCAGCACAGTCAGTATTTCTTAAAAGCACCTTTCCTTGATTAACCTCCTACATCAGTATAATCCAGCTGCAGTTATTAGAGGCAGGTAGCTGTACACACAGCACGTGTACGTCATTGCTCACGTGCTTCTCTCCCTTATTGACTTCCTCTTTGGCCTAGCCTTTTCTAGTTTGCATCCCAAGTTACAGGTATTTACAGAACAGTCACACAAATTCATACAGAAGAGGCTTTTATAATACAGAATTGGCATTTGTTACTCTTTGGTGGGTGTTGGGAGGTTTTCGGTAAGGAAATGACAGCAATGTAAAGTGAAAGAAAAGTGTTCAGGTCAGAATCTCTGAAAAAGATTTATGCAAGAGTTCAATCAAATATAATTGCTAACAGAGGCCCTGAAGTCTTGAATAGAGAATATTTCTGTATAAAAGATTTGAATTCATTTTTAAGCAAGAGCAGGGCACAGTCTTGGATTTTGATATTCAATGGTTTCCAATAGAATTGGTTAGAACTATGTTCTTAATTTATTTTTCCCAGCCATTCTATCAGTTTTTGTCACTTCGGGAATTCTTGGAAATTTTTGTCGTATATTCCTGTTAAGATGTCAATGATTAAGCTGTTGACACTGCTTTTTTCCCCCTACTTTTCTTTGTTATTAGAACACTTGTTCAGGGAGCAGAAATCCTGAGTTTCAGCTCCTCTTAAAAGCTGTGGGTTAAGCCACTAATATTTTATATTCCAGAAGAGTAACCCAGACTGTGATCCGGGCTGAAGTCACTGCCTAACTAGGGGAATCTGAAGGACCTGTGTGTTTTGAGTGAGAAAGTATGACTCTAGCTATATTAACCACTGGATTATTAGGTGAAGTAATGCAGATTTAGAGAAATGTCAGTAGTTTTTGGATCCTTTCATCTTAAAATTATCACTGTCCCACACCTCATGTTACTCTCCTTCTGGGAACTTATTTTAAGCACATGAGTAGCTACGGTGGTTACTGCCGTGATTAGGAGCCTCTGAGTCTTCCTCAACTAATATCTGTGCACAGTGATATACAGAGTATTGTTAGTTTTTCCTTCTTACAAGTTTGTTTATTAAAATAATCCAAAATGATCCTATGGAAAACTGCCACATTACATACTGACACTGGCATGTTTTCCACATATTACTGAAGCTGACTAAATGAAATGTATAGCTTAACATAAAAACGGGCTGCCAAAAAAATTGTAATTATACTGGAGATAAGCTAGCTTTGTTCCTGAAAATATTTCTGTTGTTCATTTAAAGACAACAAATAACACACACAAACAATATGGTATTTTATGGGGTCTTATTTCCAAGTATGTCAGAAATTATATTGTATTTCTCCAGTTTGATAACCTTTCATTAATCTGTCTCAATCCTTCCCTCCCCTCTTTATTTTTAAGGATACACCACAGTTCAAAGCTAATTATGCTGAACTTGTTTTAGCTAAAGCTGGTCCAGTACTAATCTATCAGATTTCTTCAACTGAGACTCGGGTCCTTGTTGATATTCGAGGGGATATGCCAAAAAATTTAAAAGAATACATGCTTGAGAACATTCATCCACAACTACCTGGTAAGTCTAAAAGGTTTCCCTCTAAAATCTTCACAATTAGAATGTACCCTAACAGAATCATCCATTTTCCATTTCTCTGCTGAAATATTGATATGGGAATTTTAAATCAGTTTAAATCAGAATCTACACAGAATAATCTTTGGATTGTGTTGGTTAGTTGTCTTTGGCATTCAAATCCTTGCAAAATCTGGAGCGAGGAGGGGAAGTTGTATTTTCTCCATGCACGCTGTTACTGTTGCAATAAAACAGTTGCTGCTTAGATTCCACATCAAACAACAGTTTGCTCATTTGGCACCTATAGTGCTGACAATTCAGAAGATTTACATTAAGCTCCTCTGAGAAGAGCTTAAAATGGGTTGTGTGCAGTTTGAAACTCCACCTAAAAATGTAACTTAGTAATTTGTTTATTACAGAGCACCTAAAGGAACCATTCTTAATAGCAGTTCAGAATGATCGCTTGAGGACTATGCCAGCAAGCTTCTTGCCTCCTTCAGCTGTAAACAAAAAAGGTATATATTGTGAAATAATCTTGTAAGATTTAGAGCTGTGTTGTTATATGCAGCAGGTAAGTTGTTCGGTGCAATTGTTTTGTGGTTCTGGCTATGATTTTGAAAATGTCTGCGTATTTGGTGCAAATTAGCTATAATATTTATACTGACATTGCATTTCAAATTAATGTCTACTTCATTTTAAAGTTGAGATAGGGGTTTTTTTATTTTTTAAGATGTAGAACAGATCAGTTCATGATTACAATCACTCACACTTCTACAAGGCTTGTTTGTTTTTTCTTTAAGGAAGTACTTTATATTAAAAAAAGCTCACACACATATAGAGAATAAATATTTTGAACGTTTCTCTTTTTAGAGCTTTTTAGCAAGATAATTCAAAGAGATCTGATTTTAAATCTCTAGTTGTTATCCAAATAGTTTGCCGGTGGAAATGAAATCTTTGCAAATTTTTATATCAAAATACAGTGTTTGACATTTATATAGTGGTTTGTACTGTATTTTATTAATCTTTGTCTTCTTTTTAGGAGTTCTTCTTTTAGGAGATGCATATAATATACGGCACCCTCTAACTGGTGGAGGAATGAGCGTTGTTTTAAACGATGTCAAAATCTGGAGAAGTTTGCTGCAGAATATTCCAGACCTTTATGAAGATTCCGATGTTCTCCAGGTGAAGCTTTAGCTTGGACTTTGCTTAGGCAGCTTTAGCTGCAGTTTAGACTGCAGTTTCATCTAAATTAGGGACATGTAAGTTACCAGCAATGCACGGCTCTTTACAAAACTTAGGGTAGATAAATAATACTGATAATACTGAACACTGGCAGAAATACTGGTAGATAATACTGAACACGTACGCGTAGTTTTTCAAGTGTTTCGCCAACAGGATCCTGGCTGCAGCAGGAGGATGTTGCCAGCAGGTCGAGGGAGAGGATCCTGCCCCTCTACTGGAGTATTGGGTGCAGTTCTGGGCTCCCCAGTACAAGAGGGACATCGAGCTTCTAGAGAGGGTCCAGAGGAGAGCCATGAAGATGGTTAAGGGACTGGAGCATTTATCCTATGAGGAGACACTAAGCGAGCTGGGCCTGTTTAGCCTGGAGAAGAGAAGGCTGAGAGGAGATTTTATCAATACGTACAAGTACCTGAGGGGAGAACGTAAGGGGGATGAGGCCAAACTCTTCTTGGTGGTGGCCAGTGACAGGACAAGAGACAGGACGAGCTCCATCTCCATGCGAGGAAGAACTTCTTTCCTGTGAGGGTGACAGGACGCCGGAGCCCTGGATCAGGCTGCCCAGAGAGGCTGTGGAGTCTCCTTCTCTTCCAAACCCGCCTGGATGCCACCCTGTGCCACGTGCTTTAGGTGTCCCTGCTGGAGCATGGGGTTGGACTAGATGATCTCTAGAGGTCCCTTCCAACCTCAACCATTCTGTGATTCTGTGTTTCCATACTCATTAGCCTCTTGACTGCTATATTAATCTCACAGCAGTAAGGTCGAGGTTTTCTTTTTTTAGTGAGATTTATACCCAAAATTCTGATCAGGGAATGGTAGGCCTTCTCTCTTTCTCTCCTCTCTCTCCTCACGTACACACACACACACACACACACACACACACAGAGTCTAATAAGCTTGGCGTGTTAATTCGGCTAAAGGATTACTAGAATAATTACAGACTACAAATGAATTATTGAGAAAGTGCTTTTTGAAAAGTGAGAAGCATTTAAAGGGAGAATGAATGTCCCTGATCTTTATGGACAATGCAGGATTTAACTAACCAAGTGTAAGTATCTACATCTCACAGCCTCAGTTATTTTCTATTTAGTCAATGGAGAGAAATGCATGACATCTGTCAAGTACCTGATTTCACCTAGCCATCTACAACCACGCTCTTTCCTCTATTTTGTGTAAGGGCAGCCCAGATAGGTAACAGGTTCAGATAGATTCCAGTTCCTCGGTGACCTAATATGGTTTTAATCTAGTATATCACGAAATCCACTCTGCACTTTGTTTTGGACAGGGACATGACTTTCACCCATTTAGGAAGCTTTTGAGCTTTTGAATGTTCTTCTGTAATTTCCTGATAGAAATAATGTTTTTCTTTTGCAGGCAAAAAAGACATTTTACTGGTCAAGGAAAAAGTCTCATTCTTTTGTAGTGAATGTTCTTGCCCAAGCCCTATATGAACTTTTTGCTGCCACAGATGGTAAATATATTTTAAAGATAACTTCTGACTAGTTATAATTTGGCAAATAAATATGGGATGGAGGGGATGGAGTGGAGGGAGGATGTGTATGTATATAAGTGTATGTCCATCTGCTTGCATCTGTATGTACTTCAAGGGATTTTAAGGAATTAGATTAACCAGATGTTTAGCTCTAGTCTTATGTAAACTGAGTTCTAGTGATGTGAAGGAAAGTCTAGAATTAGTGCTTAAAAAAGAAAAAGAACCCTTGTGTCAGTTAGTACTACTCAGAAATATGTAGATATTTTGTAAGATTATCCTTTATTTAAGTAAAGCCAGGTCCAAATCTTTCTGAATTGAGAGACCTGCAAAGTCATGGATTTTATATCACTGATGCCTAAGCTGGAAACGTTTTCAATATCTGCAGTATGTATTTGCTGAGTCATTTGTGATTGATTTTGCAGATTCCGTGCATCAGCTGAAGAAGGCCTGTTTCCATTACTTCCGACTGGGCGGCGAGTGTGTCACGGGCCCCGTTGGGCTGCTCTCTGTGTAAGTTCCATGCACTGATTATAATTAACGTGACCCTCATCAGGAGTGATGAGCATCTGCTGGGACCTGCCTTGCTCCCAGTCAGTCACATCTGCACTTGGAGAACAGTCTCCATGAGCTGCTGCCTTTCCCACTAGGCTTAGATGGAGCTGTGCTTTCTTTTTTTTTAAATGCAACTAAAATATGGAGAGAATTTAATATAGGTGCCATGGGAGCTTGAATGGTGTGGAGTGGTCCAGGCTAGTTGAAGAATTAAGGGTAAAAGAGGCATCTCATACTTGCTAAGTTGAGGGTAGTGACAGACGTATCCCATATATGAGCAAAAGGAGTGGAGAGATGAGAAACTAGGAAGCATTTCAGATACCCAAGAGCGAATGCACAGAAATCTTCTACTTTGAATGTGTGAAGGGTGGCTATTTGCTTCTCCTCTTGTGGAATAAGAGCTAAAACTGTTGAAAATAATCCCTTGGGAAAGGCTGAAGGCAGATACAGACTATGAGAAAAGGGAGGGAAATGGGGGGAAGCAGCAGTGGCCTGTGAGGACTGTGCAGGGGATACAGACTGTAGCAGCCCAGGATGTACCACGTTGTTTCAGGCGAGGCATCAGGATCAGAGCTGCCTCAATGAGAAAGATTACCATGATTTTGAATGAATATCTCTGTAAACTGAAAAAATTCTTAGTGCTTTTCACTTCTGTTTATTTGCATAATTTATTTTGTTTTTTTTGTATGTGCATTTTAATACAGGTTATCTCCTAAACCAATGGTCCTGATTGGCCACTTCTTTGCTGTGGCCTTATATGCTGTTTATTTTTGCTTTAAATCCGAGTCCTGGATCACCAAACCTCGAGCGTTCCTCAGCAGCAGCGCTGTCCTCTACCGCAGCTGCTCCATAATATTCCCACTTATTTACTCTGAAATGAAATGCTTAGTCTATTAAATGGAAATGGGGGAAATGACTGAAGGAAGAAGACACGAAAATCACGATGCCTTTAAAATCTTTGGACATGTACAGTTTCACATTGCATTATGTGCTCTTCTCTTCAAAATGTGATTTCCCGGTTCAGGATTTGGCTTAAATTTGGTTTTGTGGTTATCTATTCCTATATTATATGTAAATATCCTTTCCTTTGCAATTGAATTTTTGAAATGAGTTAGCTGTTTACAAAGACCATAATTGAAGTGTTGGCATATGATAGATAACTGCCAGTTTTGTCAGAAAATTCATTCCTCACTTTATCCATTGCATAGAGTGCACCACTAATATTAATAAAATGAGAAGTAAAAAATGTAAACCATATGCTGCTATTATCCGTCACACTGTTTTTCTGTTCAGTAGTTCCAGAGACTGTTTCTTTATTGCTGTGAAATATTGTAAGAAAACTCTTGATTTGTGTTACTTCATTAGAAGTATTTGCCTCTGTGTTATTTCTGTTGCAGCTGAGATAGGAGCCTGCTGACGTTTGAAAAGACACTGTAAAGATTTCAGATTGTGAAAAATCAGTTTCTTTTTTAAATATTTTCTAAATCAGACTTACTTTAAGCAAGTAATAATCAAACTGTAGTTCTGTTGACTACTGCATTGCACCTGGGTAATGAAAGCACGTGTTTTTTAAAACTTGTGCTTTTAAAGTTTTTAAAACTTTAAAAACATCTCTGGCCTGATGTGTAAGCAACTGAAATTAATAAATACTGCCACTAACTGAAGCACAACATCAACTTTACCCACTGAAGCAAATTCAGTCAGGGCTGTTTCCAGGAGACAGTAAAGTCACCTTTAATACTCCTAAAAATCCACGAGAAGCACTGTGAAAGTGTCCTTTAATCCTTGGAAAAGACTTTTTCCTGTAGAGATCCCTGCATGTGACTAAAGAGGCTGTGTTTTTTACTGCTGGTTACTCCTCCTGCCTGTGTGTACAATATGTCCCCTTAATTCCTGTATATTTTGGGTTTCTGTTTTCCTGCCTTTCTCCTGGTTGCTCTGGTGTCACTGCTGGCTTTTCTAGGTGGCTCCTTTGAACAATCCTGCGCCAGCACAGCCAGGAGTGAGGGAGCAGGAGCACAGGATGGCTTGAAGCTCCAGCTTATATAAGTGGCACATTGCATAAGCTGCATATAAACACAGCTCTTCTGTTGGATTCCCCCCCCCCAAAAAAAAACGGAGAAGCTTTTTTAGTATTTTATTTGATAGCTATTTCAAATGATTTTTTTTTCCAGAGGAAACAAAAATACATATATTTTTCTAACAGTTACCACTTTTGATACCCCCTTGAAATTCAACATAGGCACATTCACAATGCGTGAACACTTCAGGATCAAGTACTAATATTTTCAGGTATCATTATACATTTCAGAATTTATATGAGTGTTTTCAAAATTTGTGACAATTTTGACAATATTGGTTACTTTCCTTTTTTTATATTATTTAGTCAATCTCTTTTAAGAGTCAAAGATTAGCAAGCCTGAGCCAAACATACCCCCTCAGCTAACTTAAATAAAAAGTTCTGATATCTGTAGATCTGTTGTGTGTTTCTGAACAAAGTGTTTTTGTAGGTTCTGAATTCCACTGTGTGTACAATTTACATGTATGTTTAGGTTTTTCTTTTTCTCTTTGAACACGGGGTCTGGTTAAACTTGCTGACCTGGCTATAGAAGTAAATACTGTTGGAAAGGGCAATGGGGGAAATGTCGTCTGTACCTGTAAGGAAGAGCAAAGCTGACTCATGCAATGGGCACGTAACTTGTCTGCTGCGCAGGGTGGAAAGACTTTGTTTGATGAAGTAGCAGATGACAATTTGGTTCACTATCTGAAATACCAGAGGATGGGGCCAAACTGTTCTTAGTGGTGGCCAGTGACAGGACAAGGGGTGCAAGTTGAAACACAGGAAGTTCCACCTCCACATGAGGAAGAACTTCTTTCCTGTGAGGGTGACAGAGCTCTGGAACAGGCTGCCCAGAGAGGTTGTGGAGTCTCCTACTCTGGAGATCTTCCAAACCCACCTGGATGCCACCCTGTGCCACGTGCTCTGGGTGTTCCTTTTGGAGCAGAGAGGTTGGACTAGATGATCTCTAGAGGTCCCTTCCAACCTCAGCCATTCTGTGACTCTGTGCTATCAATCCTACCAATCCCCAGTAGGAGGATCTAAAAGCCAAAGCTGAGATCCTGGCCCGTGAGGCCACCGGGAGGGAAGTCATGGGCAGGACGTGAAGCTCTGTCCCATGGCGGCCGTGGTGCTTCTCGGAGGGGCGCGGAGGGCAAAGAAATAATGAAAGAAACGAATTTGGAGCCGCGTGAGGACAAGAAGAGTGAAGCTGGCAGTGAGGAGGAAGTCCTCCTGAGCAAGGGAGGAGCAGCAGCAGGAGAAGCAGCTCTGTAGGGGTGAGGTTATAGTAAAGCAGGGCAGGAGTGCAGGAAAAATGGCTACTGATGGGGAGGAAAATCCCCATCAGATTCAATCCCCATCAAATTCACTTGCCTTGCAGGTGAGGGCAAGTAGCTGCCGCTAATGAGTCATGTGGAGGGTTCTTTGCAGGCAGGGAGTTGATTCCTGCTTGAAGATGTTTGACACGTCATGGGGCTTGTCTGAGAAATTTGCTGGGCGACTGGATCGTGAAAACGAAGTGTTTTGGTGTTAGATTTTGTTTTCAATAAGCCCTTTATCGGAAAACACATGGGCAATGCGAGTTTTCAAATACAGCGTTAAAGGCCCACGTCCTCCTGCAGACGTGAAGGGTGATGCCCCTCAGGTCTGCGTGGGTGTCCGGTGCCTCCTCCGCTGCAGTGCACCAAGGCAGCAGGCAGAGGGGCCGTGCTCGTTTCCTCCTCCCCTTCCTTTCCCTTTCCCTCGCCTGCAGCAAGGAGGAGGCACTCTTGGATCGCTCCTGGGTTTTGTAACTTGTAACTTGATAGTGCTGCTGAGGCCGTGTGATACTTGAAATCCCAAGCACAGCACAGTGCCTCTCTGGAGGGCTGTCAGAACAAAGGCTTAAATGTGCAACTGCAGAAGGAGTGCACAGTTTTCTGTAGATGTGTGTTACTTGTTAACGGTGTCGGATCATTCATAAGCGTAGGGGGCTCCACACGTAAAACTACCGTGTCGATACCTTTAACTCATTTTGGGGAAAAGAAAATCATGCCATTCCTGGGCTGTATTGCCCCATCCCTACTTCAGCAGAACGATGACTTGTTCTCGAGTATCACACTTCCTTTTAGTTATAATCCAGCCGTTGCAAGGTACGTGCAACATCAGGGCTGTTGCTCGAGTTTCCCAGCAGCTGCGGAAATCTGAACAAATGGGGATGATTAAAACAACTGACTCCCTTTCCGGTAATGCCAATTCTGTGTCGTTTTTCTCCTTCGTGCTTCCACTGCCCCTGCTGAGCTTCCCTCCCTGCCCCTGGGCTCTGGTCCTCGCTGCTGCAGGCTGCAGCCCCGGGCTCGGGACAGGCAGACGGGAGGGTGACGTTGCGCAAAGCTGCCTCCGCCGGGTTGCCTTGTGAAAGCTCTCACCTACGGCGGGAAACATGCCCTAAAACCTGCACGCTGGCATTTGCTGCGCTACTGTTTACACCCACTGACTGATCCGTATCAGTAAGGTTGGCTTATGGTACTTGCACATACTGCTGTCTGGAGCTTGCTTTTGTGTGCCCGACAAAAGCAAAATCTATTCAATCCACAATAAATATGGGCAGTTGGTAAATTATTTATGCATCCTGGAATTGTGGCTTGCTCAGCACTGCGATACTGATGGAAAATGGTGTCAGCAGTTCCTAAATTGTTCCCAGTGGAGCTCCGAAGAGCTGTGCGGGCTCCCGTGCTGCGCAGAGCAATCAGCAGTGTGACAGTTTGCTGATATAAGGTTATTCGGTGTCCTGAAAATAAAAGCCTAGTAGGTGTTTTGGATAGTAAGTGAAATCTATTGTTAAGGTAAGGGAAGTAAGATAAGCAGGAAATGAATCCTGACCCATTTTGTGATGGATTCTAGTTGGAACTGTTCAGGAATGAGATACAGGATTTGCTCTGGTTCTCTGAAAACTTGCACTCCATTCTCAGCACCAGGCAAAAAAGTCAGCAGGGAAGTAGGAATTGTTAGTGAAGGGCTGGAGAGAAAAAGGACGGAAAACAAATATGCATGAACTGATGCTTTGCAAGGGATGCTCTGCCAGAGTGGGAGCTGATAACGCTTTGGACAGGGTCAAGAGAAGCTGCAGGGTGAAGCTTTGTGCCTTTGCTGCTGGACGATGCGGACGATAAAGTGATGAAAAGCCACAGAAGCAGCAGCACGGGGTTAGAGTCAATCTTCAAGAGTGGGCCTGGGGGCCAACCAAACATGAACAACCAAAGCGTAGGCCAAATGCTCCGATAAAATCCCTGGTAACGGTAAGGCACTTGCATACGTGGTAAGTAGAGCTGAAGAAAAGAAGCGCCGTGTGACTCAGTGGGGTATGTTGCAGTCTCATAGAGGAATTAGAGACGGCTTCACCTGGGTGGTCAGTGGTGAATTTTCCCACAGGAAGGTTTGGGGTTTCTTCAGCCGGGTACCTCGTTCACCCGTAGGCCACCCTTGGGAAACTATAGCAAGAAGCCTGAGCTTCTGTGTACCAAATCTGCAAGCAAGAGCAAATATGAGTCATGCAGTGGATATGTGATTTGTCTTCTGGACAAGGTGGAAGGACCTGATTTGATGAAGCATTCACCAAATCGTCATGTACTGTGCTGGTAGCACTCCCTTCGTAACGGTCTTGGCTCAGACGAGCTGTGCTCTCCCACACGGCTCCGGGCTGTGAGGCGGCGACGAGCAGGGATCGTTCCCTGCGGGTGGGCGGATTGGGCTGCCCTGCCCTGCCCTGCGTGTTCCGGATGTTCCTGGGATCTGAGCCTTGCCAGGCCGGGCGGATCCCGGAGCAGCGAGCGAGTCCTGACTTGTTTTCTGGAGTTACGGATTGAAGGCTGAAATCCAGGACCCGAATGCCTATGTATGATGTGAAGCATCCCCACCATCGCTTGTCCATATTTCACCGTAACTTTAAAACTGCTATTCAAGTTCTAGGTCACAAGCTTTAACACTTGCCTTATGATGAAGTATTTGCTGCTGCTGCTGTCTTCCACCCTGTGTGCTTTGTCCTAGCACCAGCTGGAGGAAAACTCTTGAGGAAGAGGTCAGCGGTCCAAGAAATCAGCTGCTGTTCTGAGGGAGCGGTGGACCTGCTCTGACCTTGAGCAGTTTTGGCTTTGCTTTTCAAGATGTGCATGAGACAGCCTCATCTTTGACTGGTGGGTTGAAAAGCAGTTCTTGGGTGAGGATGGTTGTGTCTCGGTGCGTCCCACCGAAGGGCTGTGCCCTTGTTGCCACCTCCAGCACCACAAAGGGATTCTATTAATCTTGAACCTGATGCTGCTTTTTCTAGGCAAGTCTCATCTTTCAGCTGGGAACCAAGAGGAGATGGGGAGGCTTCACACACCACAGGCTCCCGTGGGATGCCTGGGGCCACTGGAGCTCCCTGTCACTCTGCTCCAGGCCACAAAGATCTTGTGACACCCCCTGCCGCCTCTACTGCGTTTTCTCCAACATCTGGCTCTCCGCTTCCCCCGGAGCTCCCGGTATCACCAGGCAGGTATCAGATTCAGCACCCGAGTTTTCATTTTCAGTTCAAGTTTCCTCTATTTCTGCTACATGGCAAGCTCTAAAACAGCAGAGCTGTGGCTTAATTTGTAACTCAATCGTAATTTGTAATTGCTTATTTCTACCTCAAAAACCACTGGTAATTGTATAGCAGTGGGAGTCTGATGTTGATGTGCATTCTCTGCAACTATAGGACAACATTTCATCGCAGTCTATAGAGCATGCGCAGAGCCACTCAGTCTCCTGATAATATATCCAGTATCTGCCTTCTTATCTTGCCTAGAGTTAAGCTATCTTGCAAATGATACCTGGAAATAGCTCGTGCACATATGCATTATTTGCAAGCTCCACTTGGGGCACTTAGACTAAAGGTCTCTCGTTTTAATTTGATCCCACTGCTACTACCCAGCACTACGATACAGAGCCTACACGAGAGCCAGGCCCTGCTGCAGGTGTCACACAGAGCCGCTGTCACCAGGGCAGTTGGAGCCCGTACCTGCAAGGCACTGCTCACACTGCAGCGCTAGCGGTCATCAAACCAACCCGTGCCACGCGTTAACTCTCGCGCTGAGCTGGAACTACGTGCTGGGGAGCTGCACATCTTAAAAACACCCCAATCCTCTGCTTGTGGGAGCAACATACCTTTAGGAAGGGCTGTCTAGATTGAAATTGATTGTTTTATACTCAGATGAGCATTGGGAAGCACTTACTTACCAAGTGCAAAGAGCAAGCGCAGTAGTGAAAGATTTGAAAGATACTAGCACCCAGAAATGAGGGTATATCTGTTTTAACCTAGTGTGTGTCATCAGCTTTGGAAGTCTGTGTGATTCAGCTAGTCAGCTGCTTGATGTTTCAAAATATAGAAGAGAATTTGTCCCATTTGCAACCATGACATCTAGGGAGAGCCTGGACAGAAGGGAGGCTTGCACTGGGCACATATATATGTATATATATATATATATATATATACACATATATATAAGGCGAGAGGAGTCTCTGGAGTTTATTCAAGTTACACATTCCTCCTTTCTCCAGGAAGGTGTTTCAAATGCCTTCTTACTATAGAAGCTCCATAAGTGTGAGCATCCCTTGGGAAGAGCCAGGTGTGAGTCTTACATGTGAGCTCACCTGAAGACAGCTAATGAGCTTTCCCATGCCTGGCAAACTAATTAAGCAATGGATAATGATGGTGAGAGAACACACTGTTTTCCCAGGTGCCAAACTGGGAGAAAAAAGCACTTCAGGTATCAGATCTGCCACGCCAGGAGTAAGACCTGATGTAAACAGAGAATCGCATTGGAAATTCACTGCTAGTAATTTGCCCTGAACTTGCATCGAGGGTAGGGGAGCCAGTTACCCCGGCGTGGAAGTGGCGGCTCCGCTGGGCTTGGCGGGACAGCAGGGCACGAGGAGAGTGACCGGAGCTGCCGCCCGCGCTGCCCCGCGGCAACCAGCACAGCCCAGCGCGGTGGCTCTTACTGGCATTTGCTAACCTTGTGCTTAAGGAGAGTGAAAACACACGTCCCTTTGGCACGGATCCCAGTCCCCCCAGCTTGGCTCTTTTTCCTTTGCCCTTTGCCTGTCTTCAGTGGCTTGTTAACGCTTGCGCTCAGGAGGGGATGTGAGGGACTTCGGGGCCTTCCAGGTTTTTGGTCACCCTTTAATGCAGCTCTTGTGGACTAGCTGGATCAGCTCTGCTGCGAGGGAGGGCAGCAGGAATCTTGCAGAAGGAGGCGTTTGTGTGCAAACACTGATGTTGTTTCCTCTCCAAGTGGGAGGTGGTTGTAGGTGGAAAATGCTCAAGCCCAGGCAGGCAGGAGCAGACAGGCCTTGGACCATACCATCTTCCGGGCTCCTTTCCAAACCAGGCTTCTGGACTTTGCTCTTCTTCCAACTACATTTCCTTTGGGTTCACGTATTGTCCCTCAGGCTCCTGTCTACTCCTCTGCTGTCCCCAGCAACTGCTCTTTGTAACAACCACCTTGTGAGGGCTGGATCAGGCAATGCAAGTCACCAAGCTAGGGACAGTTGTATTTTGTTTCAAGGCTACCTCATTCATTCATAGAGGGTTAATAAGTGGGAAATAAGAAATAGGGGGGGAAAAATACACCATGCAAAGTGCAAACTGCAGGCAAGGCCAGTTCTTTATGTCCTATTACTGCACAGCACCCAGGTGCAGCCCTAAGCATCCTCACTTACGCGCGGGAGGGCGAGGTGCCCGTCTGCCTCTTCCAGGGCCTGGTGCTCTTGTATTCTGCAGCGCTCGTGCTGCTTCGTTCAGCAGCGATGCTCGTGGAGCGCTGACCTTCGCTCCCCGACTCGGGAAGTGTTTGATTGTAGTGACACATTAACACCTCAGACCTACACGTACATAATGACAGATGCTCTGTTCAAGCAGCAACGCTATGATGTGGTATTGGTATGTGCTCCAAAGATGATTTAATCTGCACTGGGGACAGAGCTGCACTATTTTGTGATAGAAATGGAAAAAGGGTTGCCAAGCACATTCTAGGACTGGAAGAGATCTGATCTGATGGCTGCTTCCTATATTACTTTTAGAGTATTTAATTGCAAGATGAAAACAGAAAAATCTGAATATATTTGTTACATTTATCACTTTTTTTTTGTTAAAATAAGACTACAATGTTTAATAACTGTTTATTTCCAAACAACCCTGACATGATTAGTATAAATATTTATGCCTTTAAATAGTGCATCATGACTTCCCAGCTATGGGTGTTTAATTCTTCCTCTGTCCCTTAGTAAGAATTTTCTCTTTGACATCTCTATTACAGAGCCAGACACCTGCTTCTGCTGAAGATTCATTTCTAGTAATGGTTCTTTTAACAGGAAAACTGACATTTTTGAATCATAATCCTGACAAACAGAGATCTTTACTTCCAGTTTAAACATTTATTTGTGATACAAAAGTCAAAACTTTCACAAATAGTTATTCAGAAGAATAACAACAAACTAAATGATCTATACATAAACAATTACATACAGCATTTATAATGTGCAGTACAAAATGTACAGTGTGTTTAGATGAGCTAGAAATTGCATAAGATGTCAAGATTTAAACAACTGTTATTTATATATAATAGTATTGATGGTTACGTTTGATATCGACAGTTGTAGGTATTGCCTCAAAACACACAGAAGATTCAGGTCTGAAGGGCAATATTTGCCTCATCTTCTGTCCCCACTTCTCTGATTTGGGCTTGGAGGAGAAACTTGGCCCTTTTCTGTACTCACAGAACAGTTCTGAATTCATCAAAAATGAAACTAGGCACATGTGCTTCAACAACCTAAAGAAAATAGAAAGCCACAATCAGGTATTTTATGCATTATTCATTCGTACATTTATTTATCCATCAAGACAGCACATGTCACCTCTCACATCACCTTGCCACTGTCAGGAATCACAGAATGGCTGAGGTTGGAAGGGACCTCTATAGACATCTAGTCCAACCCCCTGCTCCAGCAGGGACACCCAGAGCACGTGGCACAGGGTGGCATCCAGGCGGATTTGGATGAGAAGGAGACTCCACAACCTCTCTGGGCAGCCTGATCCAGGGCTCTGTCACCCTCACAGGAAAGAAGTTCT